AGGCCTCAGAGCCGCGGGACCCCCCCTCCGCTGCGGCTTTGCTCCCGGTATCCCTGGTCTGCTTCCCAGAGTCCCCAGCAGACCAGGGACACCCGGAGCAAAGCCGGGGAGGCGGAGGGGTCCCGCGCCTCTAAGGCTTTGCTCTGGCAAAGCCTCAGAAGCGCGGGAACCCGCCCAGTGCCCCTGGTCTGCTGGAGACGGTCTCCAGCAGACCAGGGGCACCGGAGCAGCTTACGAACGGGGCTTTCTCGCCCCGACTTCCGGGGCGAGAAAGCTCCGTTCATAAGTGCGGATCCGACGTAAGTCGGATCCGCGTAAGTCGGGGACTGCCTGTAAAGTTAATTGGGAATGGATTCAATTCAAGTTTACACAAAAATTCAATTTGTACAGAACAAGTGTGGTGGTTTTGGCTGTGATCAATATTTGTGTTTCAAATGGGATCTGTCTGTCAAAGAAATCTAAACCTCACTTTAACTGAAATTAAAATAATAAAAAATTATTCTCAATCATACTTCACTTTCAGTTGCTGAATTGGATTACCACTGTTTAAACTCATCACTAATATTCTGTTGTTAAAATAATATGTGTATTGTTGTCTAACCAGTATACCTGCAAAACAACTAATGTGTACTTGTTACTCCTTTAACAATATATATATTTTCTTGTTCTAACAATTGGGTTATTCTATTCATTTAGGGACTCATCAAAAATCCACTGGAGTCAATGGAAAAAGGTGGCTATTCACTTTAAGATACAGTGAATCAAGACTTTAAATATTAAAAGTAAAATGAATTAAAGCCATATTGTATAAAATGAAGCAGCTGTAATAGACTTTGCAGGATTGGGGCCTAAATTTGTATTCTCTCCACAAAAGATATACAGGCTTATATGCTGGTAACTGATGCATTTCAAAGTTGGAAAACAAAATAATGAGAACACTGATTTTTTTTAAAGCAAACATTTCAGTAAAATGTGGGTTAGGGTTGCCAGATCGTCTCCCAAAAAATACTGGACACCCGGTATTTTTTGGTCAAGCAAAAAAGGAATGGAATGCGGGATAAGCGGCGATCGCAACCCCACCTCCCAGCACGGACTCCCAACTGGGAGGCAAAGCTGCGAACACTGCTGGGAGCCTGTGATTGCACAGAAGCCTGGCGGGGCCCCAGCTAGGCTTCTGAAGTGCCCAGAGCGCCGATCATGGCCCCACCTTCCAGCTGCTCCACCCGCTCACGCCAGGCTTCCGTCCAGTGCGCAGCCAGAAAAATCAGAATACACCAGACATTGCACATGTCCGGTATTCTGATTTTTTTTACCGGACAAAGAGCGCAAATACTGGGCACCTGGCAACCCTAATGTGGGTCCATTGTTTTTTCAAAGCAAACAGATCTCAGTACACAACATGCTTTCAGACCAAAACAACAACAATGTATGCAGTAACTTCTAAGCCCAACATTAACAACATACTTTTTTAATGTCATCTTCTGAAGCCTTTTTGAATTCATTTTCAAAAGGACTTGCTAGCTCATTAAATAAACCCACTTCTTCACAGTTCTTCAAGAATCTAGTTGGTGTTGGTGTCTGATCTGAAATGAAATTAAACATGCAATTATTTTCCAAAATTCCATTTAGGAAGAACAATTTCTTACTCTTTACAAAATAAAAATATGAAAATATCACTAATGCCTAAGTTTTAATTATTTTGGTTATCTATTCTAAAGTTAACACTAAAGCAAACAACCACCTAACTAAAATAAAGTTTGTGCTACAGTTTAAGAGCTCTTTAATATTATTTTAAAACAAATTTTAGATCAAGCTTTCCCCTATGATGAGAGATACTTGCAGCCCATTTTACCTAAAACCACTATTACTGAGGTTAACCTCTCATTTGTTTTAAATGATTTTCCAATTAAAGTGGACATATAAATTTTCTGGCAATTTAATTCAAACCACTTTAAATATATTTACTAAGTGCACTGAAAAATATTTTTGGCAGCTTGAAATATTCCTGTATTAGTTTTTAACTAAGAGCTTATTGAACAACTTAGTTCTCAGTTATTTCATCATGCGGGTTTTGCTTCCACCTACATGGAGAGAGTAGTTAGATCTAAAAATATGTAAATGATTAAAAATAGATATTTACTGGATACATAGCCAATTTGCTTAGATTTTTAAAGTTATTTTTAATAATACACTCTTTAAATAAACTTTACAATATGGACGATTGTTTCCACTTTGACAGAGGCACAATTTGCAATGCCCGGGTACAAATTAATACACGTAAAATCCAACAAAACACGTGAATGGGTCTACAGAGATAGCTATTAGGACACCTTTTATTAGATTTGGTGTTCTGTTGTATGGAGCACTCTCTCACCTCATCATTCTCCATGTCCATATACACTCTGATAAGTAGCAGGCTACAATGTAGGCTTGAATGGTTATATACATGAAAAAGATTGATTAAAATACAGTATTTACATGAAACTATTAATTTTTGAAAGGTGGCATTCACTTATAGTTTGGACCATTAGGAAGACTCTCTCATTCCAAACCCCAGGGACAAAACTGGAAAGAGACATATGGCATGTGGCCAAAATATTTCCTAAGCCTCCCAGGTACACTTCTTTTACTCTTTCATTCAAGTCATCCAGAAGTGGTACTGCTGCTCCACCTGCTGGAGACACACAACTCAGGTTTGTAGATTAGTAAATCCTTTATGACACAGGTAGAGATGAAGAGGTAATCAAAAGTCTGAGTTCTGTCCAAAATTCTTCTAAACTGTACAGAAGTATGTCTCCATAGCTGCTTAATGAGCTCCACATGTCCCCATACTACCAGCTGGGAGAGACTCGCTGCTCTGATCTAATCAGGGAGCTGCTGCTGTAGCTGAGGGAGAAGTGCCCCTCTCCCAGCCAGGCAGCTCCGTGTGTGGCAGCCCTGAATCCCTGGGCGAGGATCAGGCAGCTGTGGGGCCATGCTGCCTTGCAGCTGAGAGGGAACCTTGGTTGTGTCTCCATCTGTTGGCTGAAGGAACTACTCAAGTGCCTGGATTAGCAGACAGGAACATTTTAAGAAAGAAGTTTAATTTTCAAACAGCAATGAGAAATGCTGTTGTGTGTGAGGGTCCACAATTCAAACCCAAAGGAAAGTGGCATTCATGGAATCATGGACCTGTTTTGTATTTCTTCTCTTATTGTAAACAATAGAGACAATTGCTTTTGTTATTCATGTGCTGTGTCATTTGTAAGTTGCATGCAAAGTGCAGCGAAGATAGCATTCCAAACTTAGATTTAAAAGATGTTTGCATGGTAAAACTAGAATCACAGAACTTTCACTGAGAACTGTATGGATGACTTCTGTACTAATTTAAAATTTATATTTTGGATAGTATGTCAGCTCCCATTTATTTCCCTTAGAATGTATGAGCTGTCAGGTTAAAGTAAGCTGTTTTACTGTACGCATGCATTATAAATAGAGGAGATAACATTACAAAAGGTTCCACTAATTTCAAGGGACGTTCATGTATGACAGCGGATGAAGATCATGGAAGTACTGTAACACATTTGGAAAAGCAAAAAATGAACTCTCCCACTGTTTCACTGCCGCTCTCCTGATTACCAGACAGACATCCCCTGCAAACAGCATACAATGCAGATAGCATTTATAGTTTTAAGAAGTCTGCCACTTTTGTTAACTGTAGAATTCCATTTGAATCTCCTAATAAATTGGCAACTTGGAATAATGGAAAGAGAAGATAGTGTATTTGTACAATTAAATTAAACCTCTACTACTGGGAAATGTTTTGACTATATCTATATGCACTATCCCACAGAAGATCAAGAGGAGCTATCTGAAAAACTGGGTTGTTCCCACAAAAGCTCACGATACTATATATTATTTTTGTTAGTCTCTAAGGGTATGGTCTACACAGCAACTTTATTCTGAAATACTGTCAAGCTGGAAGATTTACTTCCACTCCTGTAAACTTCATTGTATGAGGAGTGCTCTATTTCAAAATAAGAGCTGCGTAGATGCTCACAATTTTGAAATAAGCTACGCAATTGACATAACTCAAAATAAACTAAGCAAATTGAGCTAAGCCCTGGTGTGTAGATGCACCTTAATGTGTTTAATTTTTTTTAAGTTACAGACTAACACAGATACCCCTGTTAATTAGCAAGTTACAATTTAATGGTCCCTCCACAATCTGTCTGTGTCTACAAGAGCCTTCCTACTTAATAAATTTAGAGAGGAACTTTTTGGGAGACTTCCTTTTTTTGGCCAGCCTGTTTCTTATTTCCTTATTGTTTTAGATCTTTAAAAAGAGCAAAGGATTCAAAGGTAAGTTTGATTTTTGGATATTGTAAATAAGTAGTTCTGACAGACAAAATTAAAACATTTGTCTTCTTTATAACAATCTATTTACTTTAAAATATTTACTCTACTATTGATTGATTTTCTTGAGACTACTAAAGACTGTAAAACGTAGTATTTTTAGAAACAAAATATTTTAACATACATGTAAACTCTAAGGTCAACCAAGACCTTGGGGAGGCATTTAAGTATCAGATGAGGTTAGACATAAAAGGTTAGACAGTAAGTGTTTTTTTTAGATGAACACTTACATAAGTTAAACTACTGCAATATTGACAATCATGTATTTAGTCTACATACCAAATATGAAGAGAAATGTTTTAAATAGAAATGTAATGGCAACATGTATTCATTATCTAACCTTTACCATACACCATGGGTTATCAAATGTCCTTACAATGCAAACACACTCTGACAACAAAAATTACTACATAACCTCAGGAGGGGGAACTGAAGCCCGAGTCCATCCAAGGCCAGATGCCCTGTGGGGTGGACGGGTGAGTGAAATCCACTGCATCAGGCGGGGAGTGGGCCCAAAGACGAAGCCCAAAGGCTTCAGCTGCAGGCACAGGGTCTATAACATTTAATTAATTAGTTAAATGTTAACCCCCTTCCGACCTTGTACAGGCTGGGAGCCAGCAGTCCTATGGGGCTGCAGCAGCCCTCTGCCCACAGCAGATCACAAGTGAAAGGCTGCTCCCAGGTCATGATTAACTGTTACCCTATAAGCATCACCCATTAAGGATTACCAGATCATATCCCTAACCTGTAACCTGAACCCCACCAACCGGGGATGAAGCCCTTGGGCTCTGAGCTCCATCACCCAGGAACGAAGCCAGACTTTGGCCCCAGACTTCAGCAAGTCTAAGTCCTGAGCCACAATTTGAGAACGATTGCCATATAGGAATTCTTTGGTATTTTCTTTCACCAGTCTACAGAAGTTATATAATGTACAAAAAAACCCACAAAATTTGTGCACATTCCATAAGCAATATGGATAAGCTATTAATAAAAGTATATACTAACCAGCCACAATGACACTGTCATTACGAGCTGGACCAAATTTCAGTGTCATCTCATGTTTATGTTTATGGACAGCCAAATGATCCTCGTTGGTAAAACGCTGTGGCAAAAAGTTTTAAAGTAAAGTTAAAACTCTGAATTTGATTAAAGTGAATATAATATGTAGAGTCATTTTCACAGCATGCAAAACCATCATTTTCACTAAAGTACTAGTTAATTTTTTAAACACGTACACATCGGTTTTTGTTAATTCGGGATACAATATTCTACCATCAAGCGGTCAGCAAAACACATGCACACAAAATACTAAGAAATAACGTCCACAATAGTTAACACCATGTTGAGTGAATAAAGGCCAATATAAAACAAAACTTTGCTTTCTGATACTGTGAAGAATCCTACAGTGATCAAAAAGTCAATATAAATTTTTGACACAAAGGGAATATTATAAACAATTATGGTCTTTGAGCACAGCACCATTGATGGTTTTTGCAACAACAGAAGAGCTGGTTCTCTGCATTAGCCAAGGTTGAACATGGTTTTTGTTTAAGGCTTGCCCATTGTGTCTAAAAGTAAAGACAATCCAAATAGTCACGTGGACATGTGGCATAGGCATGTATGCTAAGTTAATATTCCATAAAGGATCATTTGAGCAAGTAGACCCCTGAGATACTATGTCCTCTAAAAACAGATTTTTACAGAATCACCCAATGTTCCCTTTTTTGTTTTGTTTGTACACACCTGGAACTCAGATTACGGCTTCAATCATCCCACTACTAAAAAAAATGTAGAGAGTTATTGAAACGAGAATTTTAAAATCTCCAGAATGGCTCATGCCGACAAAACTGATGAGCCAAAGAGATGGAAATGCACATTTGCCAAGTAGGCTGTCGTCACAACAACTAGTAACACACTGTGCTCATTGTATTCATCCATTTTGATTTCTACCTATACCGTTTGCACCTGTCAGAGAATGTGTGATGCGCACATCCTTCCTTTCAAACGGAGTCTTACACTGTTTCTCTCACTCTACCTGTATGCCAGGATGTAGGGGGTTCCTGCCCTTCTCAGTGAAGTCTGAGTCTTTTCCTCACCGTGTGTAAGCCAAGATTTGGATCTTCTGCTGGGATGGACGTCTACAGCCCTCTCTCATACGTTATGTCCTGATTTGAGGTAGGGACTCCTTCACCTGCCTGTCTCTTCCTGGTTTCAGCCAATACATGGAACCTCCTAGCCCCACCACCTTACTATGTACCTAGAACTCCTCCAAGACCACTAGGGACCTGTAATGCCACGGAGAAGGGTGGAGCTGATAAGTGTTGGAGGGGCTCAAAGCAGCAAGCATATATTTTTTTAAATGTAAAGGAAATGAAATGCACCAAAACTTCATTAAGACAGAGATGCGGAGACCTCTTAAACTTAAATCTCTGAAAACCTGGAAATGCAAAGTTAAAATACATGCCACCCCTGCAGTACAACTTTAACTCTGCCCATTTCTGAATGATGCCCCAGCATACCAATTACATACATTTACAGTATAGATGCTACAGAATACTTGGAAACAGAACATATGATCACAGTATGATAAAGTCTAGTAGCCTTTTTTCCCCAAAGCAAACCCTGTGTTTAAGTCAGGTGTAGGAAATTACCTCCCTGCTCTTGGTCTACACTCAAACACTGAGTTTACTTTGCACAAACCACCCCAGATTTGCAATATATTACCACAGTTTCCTCCTTGCCCTGAGGATTTATTCTGAAACATCATCTTCACTTACCCCTCACAAAGTCCCAGACACAACAGTCATGTATGCCATTATGCTACTGATAATCTTCATGGCAAGGTAACTGGCGTACCTGTATTCACAACCAACTGAAAACTCAGTGCTGAAATGAAGCCTACTTGATCCCTCAAGGTACACATGCACCTCTCTTTATATCACAGTCACAGCTCTGCCAAGTTGGTCCTATTAATCCTTCCAACATTCAAAACAAGTACACCTAGCATGGCGATAAAGCTGAAGTCCATGCAGATAAATGATGGGAGTCAAATCAGTGAGAACTGTATAGGAAGACTCCTGTGGGAGTGAACAGATGCCCAAGAATCCCTATAAGCAGTTGGTTGTACCAGCAAACACTGGGGGAAGGGAGAAATTGCTACTGATTGCTCCTTGTAGTCCGTTTGCAGGCCACTTGGGGGTACATAGGACCTATGATAGGCTAAGGAGTAATTTCTACTGGCCGAGAATATAGAATGATGTGAAATTATTGCAGGTCTTGTGCAGTATGTCAGGAGAAGAAGAAATCTGAAAGTTCCCCCACATCCCTTACCTAACTTACAGAAGGCTTTCCTAAGGGTGGGTCCAGAGCCATGGACATCGTGGGTCCAGTGCCATGCCACACTCAGAGAGGGAACAAGCATTTCTAAGTGGTGGTGGATTTTGCAACTAGGTACCCTAAGACAGCTGATCTGTCGAATATAGAAGCTGAGAGGGTGGCAAGATCCCTACTCACTAGATTTAGCATAGAAGTTTTCCCTAAGGAGATTTTGTCTGATTGACACAGTGAACTCACGAGAGAGGTCTGATGCTGGGCCCCCATATTTTTATGGAAATATGTTTTTGAATATGCATAACTCAAATATGCTTTATGCAAAATGGGACAAGTAACCTATATTCATGAGCTAATAATACCTTTAACGTGTATATTCGATTTGTGTGCATGTATCTTTCATGTACGTGAAGTTAGAAATATGAAGTGTAATTCTTTTTATTAACCGATCTAAATCTTTAAGTGAAAACCATTAGTGGTACAGGCAGTCCCCGAGTTACGCGGATCCGACTTATGTCGGATCCGCAGTTACGAACGGGGTTCCTCTCCCTGGTCTCCAGCAGACCAGGGAGAGGAAGCAAAGCAGCGGAACACGTGGGTAGCGGACAGGGCTGTCCGCTGCCCACGCACTCCGAGGCTTGGCTCTGCTTTGCCCCCCCATTGCCCTGGTCTGCAGACCAGGGGGACGGGGAACAAAGCAGAGCAAAGCCACGGGACCC